AATTGGTGTGCACAAAAACTGGGAAAGATCTGATGCACATTCACATTATTGGAGTTGCTTCAACTTGAAGGCATACTGCAAATCACTGTTTCTAATCTTCAGCATGGCTGTTTTTAAACATGATCATCTGCATTTCTTCAACATGCACAGAGCCTATCTGTGATTCATACTGCAACTATGCTGAACAGACCTTAGTTACTAAGGTTTTTGAATACAGAGTTGTCCTTCTGTACTAGTTGCCAACCAAAGTTAGAGAGCCTAGTTTACTCTGGTATTTAACCCATAGCTAAGGGAAGAAGAGATGGGTGCATACTTTTATCCAGGATATTTTTGTGAAAGTGTATGTAATGGTCTAAGACCTGAATTTAGCTCACTGTTTTCTTGTTCAAAGCCTAAGACACCATGCATATCCAAAAAGGGAAATAAAAGTTGAAAAATAATGCCATAGTAGGAAATAAAACAAATCCTGTTTTCAATATATTTGGTGGTTTTATTCACTTGCACAGTCTTGGTGGGTGGTGATTTCTCTCCCACTCACCTCCCTTGTCTTCTCTGGATCACGACATGGGCAACATTGGAACACTTTCTAATGAGTGGCCTGTATTCCCTAACAGACAGTTTCTGAACCACTTTCAATTATGACTTTGTATAAGCCTGTAAATGAGCGGAACTTTCTAACTTCCAGTTAAGTGACCCTTGAATTCAAAAGTTTTTGTATCTTGTATTTAATTCCTTCTTGATTAAGTGGGTGGCTGCTTTGAAGATCCTACTTCAGACTTTACTGCTGGTCATAACAAAAACAAGACTACAATAAAATTACTTAGGGCCAACTTGACTTTATGTGTGTGTTTTATTAACAGGATCTATCATGTCACAAGAAGAATTAATGTTGAAAATAATGTTTAATTTAACCCCAAACCAAATTCAACATCCAAATGATTTTGTCTATAAGACAATCTGTTTCATGGTAAGTATCTCTAACTGCATTTAGTCACAGATCGGTCCTCCTGTATGGCAGCTAATGTTGGACAATCTCCTCAAAAATGAGGAAGAGATGAAGTAATAGAAATGTGGTTCTACAGAAAGATGCTGAGGATACTATGGGCCAAATGTGTGAGTAACAACAAGGTTCTAGTGAGAATAGAAACAAAAAGGAAACTTATACTTAACATCAAGAAGAGGTAGGTGAAATTTCTGGGGCATGTACTGAAGAAGGAGGGCTTGGAAAATCTGATGCTCAGGGGACAGATTGAGGGAGAAGAAATCAGCATGTAACATACTTGATGGGATTGAGCAAATGGATGGCAGAACAGAGTTTGGGAGAGATAAAAAAAAAAAAAAAAAAAGACAAAGCTTAAGAGCTACAAAGGACAGGAAGATGTGGAGGGCCATGATCACCTATGTCCTGAAGAGATACAGCACATAAAGAAGCAGGGCCATCCAGTGAGGATCAATTATTTTATGGTAAGTAGCACCAATATAATCATTTCTTTCAGAACCATTTTAAAAAGTAGAATAAATGCAAAATGGAAATTCCATGACATTTGCTCACTGAAAAGACTCCATTTTTTTTGAGTTCCAAGTAAAATCAAAGCTACATACAGACATACCATTTTCCTGGGTCAAGAGAAGTCAGATAATAAAAATTCAGTAATACACAGCTGACCCACTTCTATATTTTGAACAAACTCAAACACCATTAACTGGTTTCTTTCATTTTTCTGTTTTTTTTTGTTTTTCCAGTTGCTTTCATATTTATATTGTAAATATGATTAACTTCGACAAGCAGCCATAATATTAAATTCACTAGATTTGGTTAATCTATACCATTTTACACTATTTACATTATTCGGACTATTGTCCTCCTCTTTGTTGCCCTATTTTATTATGTTTCGGCCGTTGTATGCTCCAGCTTTCTTCAGGTGGTTGGAATGTCAAACTGAACCCTTTATTTTAGTCCGAATAATGTAAGTAGTGTACATAATACTTTGTCTCAAAAATATAGACATATACCATTTTAGTTAATCATCTGCCATCAATCACTACATATCAAGTTAATGTATCAGTCTTTTGGTCTCTGCAATGGGAGATCTTTTGCCCACTCAAGGTTTTTATCATTTAGTTTTGCTCCCCTAGATTTTTTTTTTTAACCCTTTGAGCTCTGTGTTCCTGACCAACTTTATCCCTTCTGCCTGAGCTCCCGAGTCAAAATTCACAAATAATTGGTATATAATGTTTCACAGTAGATATAAAAATAGTAACAAGTGTTTACCCACCATTCAACCTGTGGCTGGGCATTACATTATTTTTCTCTACCACTGGTAAAATGGTGGTCAGGGCTTAAATATGTTCACCCCCAAGCAAAAGGTTCTGAATACAGTGTGTGTGTGTTTTTATATATATATATATATAAAATCCATCACTAAATATGCTGGAAAAATTGTTTCCTCTTTATTCCACTTCAGAAAGTACCCGACTCCTCCTCCTCCCATGCTTTTATCTTTACAAGAGTCAGATCTTACCAAGGATGGAGGCTTTTGTGCCTTCAGCTGGAACTGTACAAACCTTACTTTCCAGCCTTGATAAATTTCAAAAGTGTCTACACGGTCTTGTGGGTGACAAATTATTTCCCACCCTACAATCCCTTTCCCATAGACAAAATGTCCCAAGTCACTATTTCCATGGAAAAATGTCCTGAATAGATACATTTGTCAGTTCCACCTGTTCAGACCATGTAGAAGGGAACAAATCATTCTCATTCCATTTGGACAGCTTTTTCCCATGAACAGTTACTTTGTGGAACAGATTCCCAAGAGGATGTTTCCCCAATCACTACAATCTTAACTTAAAGTCTTGGGTCAACCATCATCTATTCTACTTAATCCTGATAATCTGCACTCACTTTTTAGTCCCTCATTTTCATAAAACAACCTCATTCATTAATCATCTATCTTGAGTGGCTGTTGAGCCTTCAATTGGGTTAATAATAGTTTTAAAAAACAAAGGCTTTGTTGACCCTCAATTCAACCTGTTGTTTTATTCTTGATAATCCAAATAAATGCATTGAACTGACCTTCTTGGCCCAAGAACACAAGTGTGAAACAATTGAAAGATGGCATTCACTACAATTGCAATGATCTGTATAATTGCCTTGGTAAGTTTGGGGGACATCTGCTGTAGAACCAAACATTTTAAATTATCATGGAATGTATAATTCCCTATCAATCTTCAGATATGTACAAAAGACATCAATAGTCATTATTTTTATTTAAGGGTAGAATTTCCTTTGCCTTTTCCCCTCTCATTATTGGTTTTCAATAAGATTCATTGTTTATTGCTGACCTCTCATAAGACGAGAGGGCACAACAGCCAAAATTTTATATCATTTATATGTAAACTTGCAGCATGGCCCAGCGTTGCCCATGCTTGATTCAAAAATCATACGCCTCATACAGCAATTGCTATCACTTGACATAAAATATTTTTGCCCTTCCTTGCCTTTAAAGAAGTTCCCTTTGCCGTGCTGATGTTGCTACATGCCTTACTTCTTGCCTATCTCACACTGCAAATTTTTTCGAAGCTCTATACTAAACATTAAATCTGGCTCTCACTCTGGCCAGTACAAAATGGCCACAAACTACATGAAAAGTGCCGTAGAAGCATGAAAAAGTTGATTATTTCCACTATCGCTGGGAGTTGGGAAATACAGTCTTGGCCTTCCTGCTAACTTGGAGCATGTGCATGTAAATTTTGGTGCAAATCTGTCGAAAATTGAGAGACCACGCACAAAAAAAAAAAACAGGAATTTGCGGGGTTCACAGTAATATTTCAGTGGTCCATAGAGCAATTTCTACAGTAATCTATGCCATATTAAAATACTAAAAATAAAAAAACTCTAAAACTAGCAGAAAATGAGATCAAGTGATTTTTACTCCATTGGATGTTTTGATTGTAAAAATTTTTTAAATGGTTTATTATGAACATTATTTACATCATTCAGACTATTGTCCTCATCTTTGTTGCCATATTTATTACAACGTTTCGGTCGTTGTACACTCCGGCTTTCTTCAGGTGGTTGGAATGTCAAACTGGACCCTTTATTTCGCTCAATGGGGTAGACTGTTCTTGTTCCACGTGCCATGTTTAATGGATGTCAGTTATCTCCTGTTAATTCCTCTCACCAAGTTCTCCACTGCCTTAAGGGAGTCTTAAACTCACACTCTTGGGTGTGAGTTCAATACCCGGTTAAGGCAGTGGAGAACTTGCAGAAAGAAATTAACAGGAGATAACTGATAACTGACATCCATTAAACATGGCAAATGAAACTAGAACAGTCTACCCCAGTGAAAATAAAGGGTTCAGTTCGACATTCCACCTGAAAAAAAAGGCAGTCAAACGTTCAGCGATAAATATGGCAAAGAAATGGACAATAGTCCGAATAATGTAAATAATGTACATAATACCTCATCTCAGAAATATAGACAGGTTTATTATGAGTTATTTTACAAGTATACATAAATATTCCATAGAATTTAGTTAAGTCTATTTTTATTAAATTAGTTTTACTTCAAAATAAAGCATATACATTTACTATTTCTATAATACAATTCCTAAATTTAGCTATTAGTACAAAATAAAATTGTTTTTTTTTTTTTCATTGTATGGTTATGGAACCCACCCTCAAAAATTAAAAGTGGTCCATGAGTAATAAAAGATTGAGATAGATAATCCCAGTGATCCCCAAGGATTGATATTAATGACTTTGAAGACCCCAGGCTCTACGGCAAGGCACAGGAATTCACTAAACTTATTTTGGTATAAGGCTCATATACAGAGCACCTTATAAGACTAAAACTATTAGAGGTAATAACATTCATTAACCAATAAATAATTTTATGTTTTGTTTGTTGATAGAAACATGAAGAAAATAAGACAAAACATGTAAAATAAGGATTTATTTTATTGGGGGAGGGGAGAGGTTTGTTTTTTTAAAATTATAATCAAGTTTTTCCATTTTTACCATTTCCATCATCATCATCGTTGTCATCATCATCACTGCTACTTCCAGAAACTTCAATTGATTCCTCACCAGTATCATGATCATTGCTATCTTTATCATCTTCACTGTCATCATCATCATCATCTTGGATAATGAGGTTTGCAGGGTCAGCATCTTGTGCTAAATCATCAAAAAATTGATCCTGAGGGTTCAAAGGTCGGTGGCGTTCAGATACCTTGGCCTTTTCATGCTTTACTTCAATATCATCGAGAAGATCCAGGTTCCAGAACTTTATTGTCTGATCATGAGAGCAACTTGCCAACAGCCTCTTATCTCTGCAAACACTGAGATTTTCAACTGCCAAGTCTCCATGGCGACCAAGCACACCAAGAAATCGGTTTGGAAGGATATGTACAGCTCTGCAGGAAAAAAAAAAAAAAAGTAAATGAATCAAAAATTTGTTTCAAGATTACCCCCTGCCTAATCATTTCCAGATCAGAATCACTGAATGTTTACCTGTAGTGTCAAAAAAAAAAAAAACCAGAAATATTTACCATATTTCCATCATATGCTAAAATGTTCCAAGTGCACTCAACATGACATGGCAACAAGCTTCTGTTAAAACACTTCCTGGGTATTTAAATTGTTGTACTTGTTTGATTTTGGCATCCCCAGTTTATAATTTGCATGTTGGACTGTCCCTTTTGCTAACAACCATTCATTCTTTTTTTTCTCACTTTCCCATACTGCATGTTATTGTTAAGAAAGTGAAATCATGTGGTCAATATTCCTGAGAAGGATAGTAGAAATTTGAAATTCTCTCTTTTCTCTAAACTGTTGCTATTCTCATTAGAGAGAGAGAGAGAATCTTGGGATTACATTGCTTTTATACATTTTAAAAATATGAGGGAGAAATGTTCAGTAAAGTTTCATAAATCCCCAAACATATGAAAGTGGATTTATATGTTTTCTTTATTCTTTACAATTAACAACAAAGATATGAAATACTATTTATTTATTAGACTTCTTATTTACAAGTGTAGAGGAGTTATAACTCTGAGTAAATAATTATAAACCCCATAACATTTATATATATAAAAAAATACTTGTAAAAATGAAAAACGGCAAGATGTGGAAACAACAAAACAAGTATTATTTATTATCTGATTATTGTATGTTGTTGGAAGCACGAAAGACAATAATACTGAGTAAAATTGTGAGTTTGGTGTCAAATGTAGATCAAATATGGATTGGAATCAGCCAGAATAAGATATAGAATAAATAAAATGTATATAATCTTTCTTACAACACTGTGCAAAAGTCATAAGTGGCGACCCAGAGACATTAGATAAAGAATTGGTCAGTATAAGTAGTACCCTACAACATAACAACTACCCGGGGTACATGGCAGCAGCCCCCAAAAACTAGGATAGGTGGGTACGAGAGGAGGACAACAACACTCAGAAAACAGTCTGCCTGCCTTATGTGAAGGGGTTATCTGCGGTCCATATAACATCAGGACAACCTTCAAAAGCTTGATGACACTTTGCAGATATCTCTCCCGAGTAACTCCCCCCCCCTAGAGGAGAACATGCTGTGCAGCTTCAGAAAGAAATATAAAGGGGAGACAGGCCGCCCCCTTAAGGTAAGGCTTCAAGAACACCAGAAAGCTGTAACACGAGGGGAAGTGGAAAAATCAGGCGTGGCTGACCACATATGGAGAGAGAAGGGAGATCACAGCCCTCTGTAGGATCAGGTTCAGATCATAAACAAAGAACACCATTGGAAAATTTGTAAACTTAAGGAATCAGCACACATGCTAGGCCACAAAAATCTCCTAAGCCAACCAAGCATAGAAATGAATACAATATGGGAACCAGTAATAAGGAGTGCCAGAGAAAAGCGATAATAACAACAAAAATTGCAATATGAGCTCTGGTAAAAACATGAAATGATAACAGCAAAAATTGCAATATGAGCACTGGTAAAAAGTTGTTGCTGAAGACAGGTTTATAATACCCAGAAATCCATACACAGATGTCCTCAAGGACACATGACACAGTTGATAAAGGTGTTAGTTAGATCCAGTGACAGGACCCAAAGAGTGTGAGTTTAATACTCGGTTAAGGCAGTGGAGAACTTTCAGAGGGGAATTAACAGGAGATAACTGACATCCATTAAACATGGCATGTGGAACAACAACAGTTTACCCTAGTGAGTGAAATAAAGGGTTCATTTCGACATTCCAACTACCTGAAGAAGGCTGGAGTGTACAACGGCCAAAACGTTGTAAGAAATATGGCGACAAAGATGAGGACAATAGTCTGAATAATGTAAATAATGTACAGTCTTTCTTGTATGTTTTCTTTTTTTTTTTTTTTTTAATAGATCCATGTAATGAATGCCCAGATAATTTAGTTAGAAAATACAGAAGTATCTGCTGTTTTGTTACCTCGAATTTTGTTGAGTGCTAAAATAATAAATGTTACTATTATGGTTTGAAAAGGAAAATGAGATGAAATTTTCATTGACCCATATGTTAATGACCTGTTCGTGTGAACTGCTTGTTCGATACTGAGAATGTTATGCATTTGTGTGTGTTTAGAGGAGAAAAGTGGGTTGATTCTTATTGATTTAAAATGAGTGAATTAATGATAATTATTATAATTATTTTTGACTCATTAATAAAGTGCTTAGTTCAAAAATCTCTGAAGAGTAGCGAGGTCAATAGACACCTGAAGAAGACTGGAGAACACACTACCAAAACATTGTTTGAGAGAGTAAAATGTCATGAATTTCTCTACTTATAAAAATCTAATTTCTTACCTGACAGCTCCATCAAGGCTACCTGTACAGATAATATCCTCTGTGATTGGCACAATGCAATCAATAGACATTGGATGACCAGGAAAACGATCGCTGATGTTGTTAAATTCATTCCAGTTGAAAATGTTCAAGACACCTTCTCCAGTGCCACACACAACTTTCGTGCCATTCTGAAATTCCAGAAAAAAACCAAATGGTTATCATCATTCAAAATTTATTGTTCAATTAAAATGCAGAAAAAACACCACCAAACAAAAAGATATATATCATAAAAACAAGAGTTTTATCTTAATGATTAATTTGCATCTGGGCTGTGGTTTATTTTTCTTGCTTTTAACATGGCAACCACAGCCATGAAATAGGCTTAGAAGAAGTTGAAATTTCTTTTACATAATGAAAAAAGAAGGCTGGGAAAATTTGACACTCACTGGAGGTCATTTCATGTCAAATAAGGTGTTTTGTGGAATTGTCTTTGAAGGAACAGTGGTGTAGGATTTTTAGTAGAATTCTGGCATTTGGAAGTATATTCCTTTTCATGTTTAGGCATTTTTGGATTATGTAGTTGTATTTTGGGCTTTCTTCTATAAGTGTTAGAAGTGGTTTATTTCTTTTAGGCAGCCTATTATTTGAGAAGCAGATACATTTTTGAAAAGCAAGGTAAGGTTTTGTACATTATAGTATTTGTTGCACATTTGCTTGTATTTTTTTTGCAGTTTATTAGGATCTGCTTAAATGTGAGCAACTGATCAAAGGAGATGCACCAAAGTGCAGTTTCTGTTTTAAGGAATATGCATGTCCAATTTGGACTCTCCTTAGCACTGTGCCCTGTCTTCAATCAAGTAATGGTTCTCTATTTTCCAGTCTGTTGACAAATGTTCGTACAGTTTGATGTTTGGAAACACATCCTAGCCATCTTCTTTTAATGTATTATGTGAGCTTATTTTTGTAATCTGTCTAAGGGAAAAAAACATTGCTAAGAGCTAAGAAGGATAGGAAGTTGTGGAGAGCCAAGATTACCAACATCTTGAATGGACATTACAAATAGAAGAAGTCTAACATGGGGGTAGGAAGGCTTAAGGCTTTGAAATTTCAGGCAATCATGTTTGTTGTCTGTTACAAAATTTAAAAGGTCACTTTAGAAAATTATCAACAATCCTACAAATAGATATTTAAAAATTGGGAAAAATATTTATTTACCAACTTCGGAGTTCAGTGAATCTAACTTTTAGTTTCCTGGAGCCTGTGCGCTGTTATAAATACGATTGTGTAAATTCACCAAGTTTAGTATCCAGTTTTCAGTAAGTCTTTAATTACTCATCATTTCACATATTTACAAAGATTACAATTTTTACAAATATTTACCCAAGAAACTTCTTGCAATAGATTCACTATTTTAATGTAAAGTAAGCATCACAAAAAAAAAGAAAAGAAATACGAAGGGAAATTTTTTTTCACTTTCCACACTTTTTCCTCTACAGATGTCTCTTTGATCCTATCCAATTTGGAATCTCTCTCTCTCTCTATAAGCTTGCCTGCTCAGACAGATACACACACATTTAGGCAGTAACCCTTCTGTTATGCATGCTTTGTTAAAAATTGATGGATAAGGGATACCTTGTTTTTTTGAAATTTTTGTTGCATCATTAAAATTTTTATTTCAAGTATTGAGAAGTTTTTTTTATATATATATATATATATATATATATATATATGTATGTATGTATATGTTTGTGTGCATGTGCGATGGGTAAATTTTTGTCTTTTTATATTTTAAATTTTGCACATACACGTTGTTTTGATTTTTGTCAACTGCACAGTATAGTAGGGGCAGTTGTACAGCATGTGTGTGAAAAAGAGCACCATGACTGAATTCACCCTACCAGAAATTTGGAAACGGCATGCCGTACTGCTTGGCATTCATGCTATAAGCTCCAATACAAACATTTCTGAGTGTTTGGGTATCAATATAAGGACAGTGGAGAATATTCGGAAAGAGTTGGATGAGTCTAATGGTGATTACAAAGGTGTTTGTAGTGATCACTAGTGATGGCAACGTTATGCCTCTATTCATCTTCCCACAGGGTGTCAGAATCAACATGAAAGCTGACATCAAGTAACTTGAGGTACTGCTGCCCTGGGTCAAGAGGGTGGCTGCTGGAAGATGCTATTCCTGGTAACAGGACACTGCACCATGCCACACAAGTGAGAGAACCCAGTCATGGCTGTCAGACAATTTCTGTGACCACATCACCATTTACATCTTGCTACCTAACTCCCCAGACTGCAATTCCTTGTAATACCAAAGATGAACTAAAGGCAAGGATTATAGCAGCATTCACCAACTTAAACAAGGGACTGTCCAGAAGAGTTGCAGGAGATTCTAAAGTCATCTGGAGTCTATACTTGAAGCCAATGCCGATTTTATTAGGTATCCCAAACCGGCTTGTTTACACTTCAAAATGGGTCAAAACACTGAAGTTTTCTGGCAATACCTCAAGTATTTTTGTAAGTTATTTTGATAAAATTAGTATGTAAAGAAAATTTAATGTTTTCTATTTATAAAGATACATTTCTTTCTCTTGTGTGATAATTAGTTTTTATTTCATGTCTCTTTAGATGAGGGCATGTTTCAGTGACAGGCGCTTCCTTTTCTGCTTCTTACTTAAAATCAGAGAATTTTATGCTTTGAAATTCAGAGTTGTGTGTTCCTACGCATATCAAAATAGTCCCATCTTAAAGAAAAGAGGACACTCATCACTTTAGTGGGCTTAAAATAAAATTTAAGGTTATTTTTACCTCAAAATTTCCAAATTGAAAATTTCAATGGATGAAATACCAGAAATTCACTTCTTAAAAAAACAAAAATTACACCCTCTTCAAGAGCAATGTCTCATCTTTAATAATCAATTGGTTTCATATAACTACATCCAACCAACTCAAAGCACAAACAAATATAATAGGTGTTTTTAAAATCTGAATTTGCTAGCCATGCAGTGTGACATGCTCAGAGCTTTTAAATCTGACCTGTTTCACCAATGGACATTTCACAGTTTCTAGTTGAGTTTAAATCTTTTTCTTATATTTTTTATGTTTATTCTAAAGTTGTATAAAGTAAACTACCTAGTATGTAACTAAATAGGCATTAAAAAAATAAACTAGAAATACATATTTTGATTAAATTTTACACACTTGTATTTGTCCATGGTGTGTGTGGGGGGGGGGGAATTAAAAAAGAAAATTTGTTTACATAAAAAAATGAAATAAAGTATTGTAATTCTAAAATGTGCATATGTATATATTTATAATTTATTTTTTTATAAATCTTGCATTTGTGTGCATACAATATTGTAATTTTAAAAATGTCTATTTTATTTACTAATTATTAAATAATTTTGGGGATTACCTCTTAATTTCAAGGATTAAATTGAAAATTTAGTTTTAAATTATTTGTAATTAGACTCGATACATTTTATATAAAATAAAATTAAGGGATATATTTTTTGGTTGAACTAATTGTGGGTCCACAAAAAAAACATTTTTTTTTTTTAAATAGATGTTTCTTGGAAGATATTTTTTATTTTTAGCATTGGAAAATATTTTTTACTTTTCTACCAAATTTATTTCATACAAAATAATTCATTTTTTTATTTAGTAAATATATTTTTAACTTTGAAAAAATTGGTTTTTACTTTGATAATTTTTACTTTTAAGTAAATTTTAACACCAAAATTCAACAATAACAATTTAAGAGCAAACATTGCCATTTGAAAAATGAACATAAATTTAAATTTTCAGTTCATTTATTTTTATGTAAATTTCCAATTGTTGAATTTTTTTTTTCTTTATAAAGCAAAAGCCTAAAGTTATGTAAATTTAAAACATTTATTTTTTTGGAAAATTTTTTTTTTTTTTAATTTATTCTTTTCCCAATATCGCAGATGTTCATTGTTTTAGGCCCTTCCATGCCCTGGGACTATTTTAAGTTTTAAAATTTAAATGTACTTATGATGAATATTTAAAAATCTTCTGTTCAGTGGATGATCAAGTAACCGTCCTGAGAGATTGTTTTCTTTTAAGTGGAAAAGGCAAGCCAAAGAAGACCCAAAATTCCTTGCAATGTACAAAAAGGTTGTTGATGCAGTTAAAAATAAAGGGTTATTAAAAGAATGTAGAAATCAAAATTGGTGGAAGGGGGTGTTGACAGTAATCTGAACACAGTTCTGGAAGGATCTCATCTATCTTAGCCCAATTTCTGAAATTTTTGTATTTTATATATTTAACTTTATCGTTAAGGACCATGAGGTAAATGAGGAAAGCACTTCTTAAGTAAACAAAGAGCTCACAGGTTTAGAGAATGATTTAACAAAAAAAAAAAAAAAAGTTTCGCAAAATCTTTGTTAAGGAACACTCTTCTTTTTTCCCTATTTCTTTTGTGATACAAGAATTGTACATTTTTACTTGCAGGTTTTTACATGGTTCTGTAAACTGTCTTAATAAAAGAATGGAACGGTCAAGATTGATGAAGCAAGTTCAACAAACATTTAACACAGCCAAGAAAATTTTAGCCACAAAGGGAAAAGATGACTTAAGAGCCTTTTTAGATTCTTCTCATGATGCTTTTTGTGGTAGCTGATGAAGTCACTGCCATTGAAATTAACTTGCAGGAACTTCAAGACCAAGTGACTAACTCTGGTAGCTATGATGAAGAAGAACCATCTCAAATGATCTTCAGATATGAGAGACAAGGCCAATGGATTGCTGTATACTATGATTCCAGTTTTTATATTGGCCAAGTCATTGACATTACATCTCCAACCAGTGAAATAATCAAGTTTCTAGCTCCAGTTAAAGAAAGAAACTATTATTTCTGATGACCTTTGGTGGATGACATTGCACAGGTCAAGTCAACTTTTATCTTATGATAGAATTTAGGTTTAATGCCAGTTTCAAGTGACGATAAAATCTGGAAATGTTCCACAAATATTGGTTAGAGAAGCCTATAAAGAAATTCAGATTGCAAATCACCATTAGAAGAGGAAGTGCAGTAGAAAGAGTCATATTTGGGCAGTAATTCTTATCTTATGAATGTAACAGACAAGAAATATCTTCTTTTTTTTTCTTTTTTTTTTTAAATTGATTTTTATATTTTATTGAGGATTGAGTGAATGGAGAAATTGCCCAAAATGTTTATTGTCCCAAACGCTTTCAGATAGTAATTTATCCATTATCAGATTGGGGATAATTTTCTGTAGCAACAATAATTAATAATGTATTTTTCTATAGTGTGTTGCGTGAGAAGCATTTTTTGTAGCAGTAATCTTATTTTTATTTTTAGTTACAGGCCCACAATCTCTTGATTGTGAAGCTATTCATAACTGAGCAGTTAAAGCATAGTGGTTTACCCCCTGCAAAGAGGTATGCAGTTTCTTGAGAAAAACGTGCCCCCGGAGATGGGTGGAACATTTTCTCAAGTTTCCTCTCAGTACACCGACCAGTAGACAAAATAAATACTGTTTAAAATAAATGTATGTAACCAATAAAAATAATACTTGAAGTAATAAAAATATGTTGGATTAAAAATTAAAATGAAATGATATGGGTATTGTAGGTTTTTGAATGTGTTTTCTATGTATGTTTCTTCTTTAAATAAATATTGAGGACTACAGATTCTTAATGCTCTTAGATAGAAACCTATAATAATTCCAGATTTAATTTTTGAAGGATGGTTTAAGTAGAAGCTCATTTCATCCACAATGCAAGAAGAAAGGCATACAAAATATACAAACGAAACAAAACTAATAACACAATCCGCAATAGTAAATCACATGAAAACAGATATATAATACTACCGACCAATTCTGCCCGTCCGATCCAGAATAACCTATCCCATCTAAATAATCTTGAAATAGTCACAAACACCTCCAAAACCATTATAGATATACTAAGATCTTCAAACAATAATAGCACTAATATTTCTGAAGCAGGCATTTATAAAATAAATTGCCAAAACTGCTCCTCCCAATATATTGGAGAAACAAGTAGAAGTTTGAAAAAACGCATTTATGAGCACAAAAGAGACCTCACAAAAAAACAACTTAGCTAATGCAATAGTAATACATAGAAATAAATACAACCATAATTTTGATTTTAAAATGCTACACTTATAAAAAAAGAAAATCACTCCTCAGAAGGAAAATTTTGGAGAGTGCCACCATGAAAATTATCAAATATCAATTTACGCCCAGGCTTTTCCTTATTTCACCTTTCTTAACAAAATTAATGCTCTTACAAACAAACATGCACAACAGATTCTTAAAATCGAAAGAAAATGGTTGAATACATCAACACAGATATAATGACAATATTCTCCACACGTGACAATCTCTGACGTTATTTCTCATTTAAAAAATATGAAAATAGCGTTTCTCTACATTCAGTTGCTAGGTACATTCTGTTTTGTTTTTTTATTAATTCGTTGTTCATTTAATTTCATTTTCGTATTTTGCTTTGATAAAGTCTACATTGGATGAAAGCGTCAGCAATTACCAGTTTTCCTATTGTCATTTTTTTATTCATAATATTGTCTTCTCTACCGATTAAATCGGAGAATTTTTTCATATATATATATATATATATATATATATATATATATGTATGTATGTGTGTGTGTAAGATAACAATTTCTCTTTTTGTATATAGGGGGAAAAATGTATGACAAAGTGGAAAAAGTTTTCTTGTGACATGTTTTGTTAACAAATTTAGTCCGATGAATCCCTAAAGAACAAAACACATAAGAAAGCTTTGTCATATATATATATATATATATATATATATATGTGTGTGTGTGTGTATACAGACATATGCGAGTGGTTAGAATGTTTGATTTCCAACCATGTCACCTGGGTTTGAGTATTCAGATGATTGATTTGATAGGAAGGTGCCATCTTTCAATTATCAGCCTGTTGAGGCAACACCACCATGTGGCACCTATGGAAAGTACTTGAAAACTACACTGCAGATTGAGCCAAGCCTTGTGAGTGTAGTAGCATGAAGTCATTGCGACTGAGGGTTTGAGCATACTGGCATTGCTCAAACTGCTGTGCATGACAGATTATGTGCTCCCCCAGAAACTGTAACTAATGTCCATTCAGCATAGTTGCAATATAAACAAAAGGTGACTCCTGTGGGTGCTGAACAAATACAACTGTGCCCCAGCAGATGTTTGCAAATACAGATTGGCTAGCTGCCCTAGCAAATGATAGTACTAAAAAAAAAAAAAAGAAGAAAGAAAGTAATGAGCCATATATATATATATATATATATATATATATTACAGGTAATTGATCCGTTGGTATATAATCCAGGTAGATCCTAGTAATATCAGTTATTAAAACGGATCCACAGAGAGCGCAATGTATTTATTATAACAGAGCAAATGTATTTTTTACAGGTAATTTTGTTTTTTGTTGAAAAAAAAAAAAAAAAAAAAATATATATATATATATATATATATATATATATATATTAATAAAAGCTGAAACACTAATATTCCATGGTTATAATTTATTACATTGGAATCGTAATAACAATCCAATTCATCAGACCTACAAATTCAAAACATTTTGAATTTGTAGGTCTGATGAATTGGATTGTGATTGAAATGTAATAAATTATAACTAATGGAATATTAGTGTTTCAGACTTTTATATTATATTCTTGCTATGTCTTGTACATAGATCTCTACCTGGATTTTATCCTCTTGAAATATATATATATATATATATATATATATATATATAAAGTGAACATTGAAATCAACACTTAGAGGTGACAGTCTGTTTCATGCTATATGCAACGATTGCGTCTATCATGAAACAGACTTCAATGTTCACTTTTATATTTACACACACTCTATCTCTGATATTGAGCACTTTATCCCATAAATATAGCACACCTTAAGACTATATATATATATATATGACTGTTTAAAATATTTGCTTTCTGACCCCCCCCAGACATGGGTTTCAATCACACACTCTTCAATTTGTTTTCTTAAAAGTTATTGGTCTCAGGAGGCAACAATCCCAGTGTACAGCATATTTGGAAAGTTCCTGAAAACCAATCCACAGGTTAACCAACATCTTGTGAAATTGGGTAGAGGGTAACTGTTTGGAAGCTGTCATTAATTGTGCTAGCACAAAGTCACAGGTCATTGTTACTGAGGCTTTGAACATACTGACATTTTTCAAACCACTGATCATGCCAGATTATGCACTATCTGCCAAAACCTGTAACTAAGGCTGGCTCAGCATACTCACAGTATAAACAACAGGTGGGCTCTGTGGGTGTTGAACAAACACAATGTGCTTGAACTGGCAGCGGCAACAATTGTGACACGCACCGGTGGTCACGGTTGCAGCGCCAGCACCAATATGGAATGTCCACTAGTCGCGACGTCAATATATGACACTGCGCCGTCAACACCCAGTTGCAGCGCGAAGCTGTAAGGTTTCTTCCACCAGCATTTTGGGGTTGACTCCTTGTCGCTGCCACCAGCCTTTGTCCCAGTCGATCTGGTTGTTTCCTGTTCGATACCAGCTTCATTCTCAGCTCGCATCTAATGCTTGGTCACCGAAGTAACTGCTTTGATCTCAAGTCTAACCTACCCATGTTGTGACTTTGATCTTAGGTAGACAAAATCAATTGGGTGTCTGGCCATAGTGCAAGCTGAATCCGGGGTAAAGGTGATACCGCACAAGCGTAGGTAAAAGAAAAATAATAAAACAAACTCACAAGGTTCGAATATGTTGAGAAATAACAATTAACTTTATCTATCTGTTGAATACAGGAGTGTTTCCTTCCCAGCCTGTTTTTATGGATTTGTGACACTTTTTGCGTTTCTTAAGCAAGTTATGGCATCTTAAGTCGTTCATCAATAAAATCTTGCTTTTGGTAGGAAGACTAAGTCGAAAAGGACGTATCAGTGTTAATTAGCCTTACGCTTGTCAAATGCTATGAAAAGAAGACTGTCTCTAATCTTAGCTTGAAATATTCTAAAAATGATGTACCTTACTGTAATCAACTGACTTTTGTTAGTCCAATTGGAATTTTAGCCTGAGGTTGGCCATCAACATTTTTTTTTTTAGATTTCTAATCTGTTCTGTTACTGATCACAGAATGATGGTCTGAGAGTGACAAAAGGGGAAAATGTGGCACAATATGTCTCTCCACATGACTGGCTTTGAACACACACAGTCACGTGAACCCTAAATGATTTCATCATCTGAAGTGTCTAGTGTTTTTATGACCAGTAGTAAAATCTATGAAGTAAGATTGTTAAAGCGGCCACCCACTTGATTAATAAGGAATAAAAGAAATATATAAGTAAATAAAAACTTTTGGGAACAAGTGGCACTTGGTCAGAAGTTGCAAACTTTTCTTTGCAGGCTTGTATAAGCAGAGTTCTGGTTAGAGATATCTATCAAACCAGTCACCTGGTGAAAATAAGAAAAAGTGGTAAAGGGACCTAACTGCCACCTACATACTCCCAGAAAGTGTGGTCAGTTTGACTCAAAACTTTGCTAGTGAATAAATAACTAAATTATTGCAAATGGATTTGTATTTGCATTTCTAGCTGTGGCATTAATTCTACCTTCTTGTGAATGGACAACAGGCCTTTCCTGGTTATTGTGCATACCAACAGAAATGAGAAACAAAACACAATGAGGAGTTATTTAACCAGTTTGTGAGAAACAGAAAGGGGGGTCTGCAGGTGCACGTTCACAAAGGAAAAAAAAAAATAATAAAAATGTGTCATCGAAAAAGTAAATATTGCAAATGCATTTAAATGAAAGTAACTTTACCTTGACAATGGCAAGCGAGAGCATTTCAGAATCAAATAACTCTGATTGCAACAACAGCTTTTTCTGTCGAATATTAAAAACAGTGAGTGTGCCCTCTCCAGAAGTGGCCAGCAAAAGTTTGTGGTTTTTATCAATTGCCATGTCACTGATAAATTCTTCGCATTCTTTCAGTTCCATCGTACAAGCCCTTGTCCTTGTGTCCCATACCTGAAGAAACAGCAGTAGAAACATGTCATTAATATTTACACATAAACACACAATGTATAATAAACACCATAAATTATACTAATGTTTGTTTAACAAGTCAAATGCACCTGAGGAGCCAATGAAAATTAAACACAAAAATAAAAATACCAGAATTTCTTTCTTGTTGTCTATATTGCACTCTCTGATGAAGCTTTAATAAAAGCAAAACATGTTACATTGATAAAAGTTTCTATTTGTTCTTTATCTTATATATATAAAAACAAAAATCGTTGATGGAAGCAATGGACAACTTGCCAAAGCATAAAACTCTTAACAAGATACAGCCTTGAATAAAAATGACTACACCGAAAAATGAAAGAGAAAAACGTATCTACTCAGTAAAATGCCTGAAGCCTAGACCAAGTGAAAAACACTTAATGTTAATTCCTATAAAAGAATGGCTATTCGTAACCCGAGATTCATGCTCATGTGATCTTCAGATGACCTGAAAATCTTGTGAGTGCAAAACTTGGGTACATATGTATGTGTGTATATATATATATATATATATATATATATATATACACACACACACACACATACAGGTAGTCATCAACTTATGACAGCATTTGGTTCCAACAGACTTGTTGTAAGTCGCACAATGTTAAATTACCGTGCATATAGTGTGGTGTCATGATACTATAATAATAATTTTTTTATTTAACTCCTCTTCTTTCTCACACTCTTTTCATCTATCCTTTTCTTTGGCTCTCTTTCTTCTCTTTCTGTCATCACATTGTTTTCTTCTCTTTCATTGTCTTTATCTTTTTAATATCTATTATCGGGAGAAGATACAACTTTCATAAACTTGGTTAGCTTTGTCTGAATTGTCTGTTTTTTTCTCATCATAAATTACACAATATGGACTACTCGCATCATGTATTATCCATTCAGTCCTTGCAAATCATTCAATGTTTGGGTCCACTGTTTCAAATTGTGCAAGGGCTTTATTGAGTTGTGAGAACCCATCTGGGAACCCCTTACCTGTGAACATCGGTTGTTGCTCCTTTTCCTCCTATTTCTCGGCCTCTCAATTCTTCTTCCAATTCTATCAGCTTTTCATTTGTAAGTTCTTCTGATTTCTTAACAAGCAACTCCTCGACACCTTCTATATCACACTCCAACAAAAGGTCTTTTGCCAGTTTCTTCTATTTTGTTATGTCTCACATCAAGTTTGTTTTCCCCTTTCAAACCCAGCAAAAGTTTTCGCATACTGCCTAACACAATGTTTCCAGACATTGTTCATGAATTTTTCAGTCACATTTTCCCATGTGATAGCAACATTTTTTATACACTTAAGAATATTAGTTCTTCCAAAAGTAACACAGTGATATTTCTGGATTGGCATCTGTAGCAGTTATTGCTTGGGAGAAGGTGGCTTGAAGATAAAATTTGCCTTAAAGGCAGCAATTGAACCTTGGTCCATAGGTTGAATAGGGAGGGTTGTGTTTGAGGACCAAAAAACCACTTTCACATCGGGATGGAGATCATTTAAGTACATGGGATGTCCAGGTGCATTATCAAGCAGCAGTAAAATCTTGAAAGGAATTCCTCTCACTAGACAAAACTCATGCACTTGAGGAATAAAATAATTAATGAACCAGTCTTCGAACATTCTCTGGGCCATCCATGCTTTATGGTTCAAATGATAGTAGACTAGCAAAGTGTGCTTGCTAACGTTCTTGAATGCTTGCAAGTTTTCGCTGTAGTAGATAATGAAAGGTTTAAGCTTGGACCCTGCGATGTTCCCACCAAGTAGAAATGTTAGCCTGTCTTTGAAAAACTTTGAACCCGGGCATGCTTTTTACCTCTTTGTGGATGTAAGTGCGTGGACATCTGTTTCCAAAATAACCCTGTTTCATCCACATTAAAAATCTCTTCTGCATGGTAACCCTCTTCCAGAATTATTTCATCAAGATCGTTAACAAACTTACGTGCTCCTTCCTCATCTGCTGCTTCTCCAGTCACACAAACATGTAATTGGAATCATAGCTTGAACCACCCAATACTTGCCACAAACTCTTGTGTATATTCATCTCAGGCATGTCCCTTTAATGTCTGAAATAAACTTCTTGCCTTTGTGTGAAAAAAAAAAAAAAAAAAAAATGATGATGGGGAAGGGGGGTGCAGTGTGTCACTTGCCAGCAGGTCAGCTTTTTTTTTTTTTTCTTTGGTCACCGCAAGGAAATGGATTGCGTGACTCCTTTTCTCAGCTGTTACACTGGGCAGTTGTGAAATAGACACCAACTCAGTCGTGCCTACTTCAACTTCCTTTTTGTCTGTCTGTCAATCCGTACGTCCAACTATTACACGCAGTCCACCGAATGACTCCCTGATACTTGGTGCTGCTGGCACCCCACTTTTTATGCTATACCAAGACGGCCAAAATTTGCATGTGTGCAAATATCGTCTCGTTTTGGATGAGATATGCGTGCATAAATTGCGTCTTCAATAGCGGCCATATTTCAGTTTGTCATCACTTTGCAGGCAAGACACGTTCACGCTTGTTTCGAATTCTGAGGTAAGTCATGTCTTTCATCACAATAAAGGCTCACTAGTATCAGTTTTTGAATTTGGTCATCGATCCAAACATGAAGTAATTTCTCCATTTCATGGATAGGCCCAGTACGTTGCTTTGTAATAACAGTAGAACGCATGGGGTCCAAACCTTTCATGGCTTCACAAATCCTTTCTTTATCCTTGAAAATCGTTGATACAGTTGAATGGGATAAGTTCACCTCACGTGTGATCACACTAACTTTGTTTCCTCCTTCATACTTTGTAATAACTGTCATTTTGGTGTCCAGATCAATTGTCTTTCTTTCCTTCTTGGCAGGCTTAGGAGTAGGCACAGATAATTTCCTATTGGAAGACATCATGGAGTGTTTTGAAAGAAATTTTAGAAGACACAGATATAACTGTACTGTAATGGGTTCCTATTGTATCTGAGTGGCTGTGTAGAAACTGTCATACATACATAACACACTCAATGCACTTGCTTACTTTTACTTTTCAGATGGACAAGTTTTAACCACACGTCATTGTCGTAAGTAGCATGTGTCGTCTGGTTTGTTTTCTCTTACAGCATATCAACCTCGATGGGTTATTTAATGCCGACAAGATTTTTATTGAGGGTCATATTTTCTATCTATCTAAGTATATATTGGTTTCGTTTGTTTTGTTTTACGGCATATCAACCTCAATGGGTTATTTAATACTGACCAGATTTTTATTGCTGTTAATATTTTTTTCCTTCAAAGATGTATTGCTGGTAATAATATTAGGTTGGCGCAAAAATAATGACGTAATAATATGTATATATATGATATATATGATATGATATATGATATTATAATATATATGATATATATATGATAAAAAGAGAGCTTCAAGTTATGCTATATTTATAGGTTAAAGTGCTCTATATGTAAATATAAAAGTAGACAATGAGGTCAAGACCTAGTGGTTACAGTCTGTTTTATGCTCAATCTTCAGACCATATACACAGGGTGCGATGAATAAATTGTCATCTAAATTATGCAAACATGAAAATAACAATGACATCTCATTTTAACAGATATATTTACAAAAATTACACAAAAATTTTCTTGGAATACTAAAGAATAAATTTACTCAATAAAATTGCCATGAGCTTTAACCACGTCCTCCAGATGACTTTGGAATCTCCTGCAACTCATCTGGACAGTCTACTTGTTTAAGTTAGTAAATCCTGACATAATCCTTGCCTTCAATTTATCTTTGGTATTACAAGGAGTTTTGTTGGTGTCTCACTCAACTGCGCCCCACACATAATAATCAATAGGGTTGCAGTCTGGTGAATTAGGTGGCCATATCTAAGAGGTGATGTGGTCACAGAAATTGTGTGACAGCCATGACTGTTGCCAGACAGAGTGTTTTCCAGTAGCCACAATCGTGACCCAGGGCAGCGCTACCACCGCAAGGCACTTGATGTAGGCCTCTGTGTTGAGCCTAAGGCCCTAACCAATAAATACAGGACTTCTTTTATCAAAATGAGCTGAGTGAGTTTTCTGCATTGTCGTACCTTCGTAATCACCATTAGACTCACCCAACATTTTCTAAATCCATTGCACTGTCCTCAGATTGACACCCAACACTCTGAAATGTTTGTATTGAAACTTTGCAGTGCAATACCAAGCAGTACAGCATGCTGTTTCCAAATTTCTGGCGGTGTGAATTGTGTTGTGATGCTCTTTTTCTTGCAGACGGTGGCCAACTGACACTACTATATTGTGCAGTTGACAAAATCAAAAACAAACAACATGCATGTACGAAATTAAAAATATAAAATGGCGACAATTTACCCATCGCACCCCCCCTCTCTCTCTGTGTATACACAAACACATTTTATATACATATATATATATATATATATATATATATATATATATAAAAAAAATGTGCGGCACCTTTGGAAAGTGCCTGAAAACCATCTCACGGGTTGACCCAAGGCTTGTGAGTGAAATTGGGTAGACGGAACTCTTGTGGACCATCAATAACTGTGCTAAAACAAAGCCACAAGTTATCATGGCTGAGGGCTTGAGCGTGCTGGCTTTGCTCAAATTGTTGATGACACCAGATAACACGCTCTTCCCAGAAACTGTAACTAAGGTCTGCTCAGCATAGTTGCAGTATAAACAACAAGGGGACTCTATGGGTGCTGAGCAAACACAAATGTGCCTGAGTGAGCGTCTGCAATAGGGATTGGCTAGCCGCCCTAGTAGTGTGTATATATATATATATATATATATAAAATTAAATGTTCTCTCAGCTTGTGTGTGTATGCATGTTTCTTAATTTAAAACAAATTTCTATGTAAATTTGAAAACTGAATTTATTTTTGTAATTAAAAAAAAAAAAAAAAAAAATCTGACCTTAATCCTTCCATCATCATCTCCTGTTGCAAACGAAATTCTCGCCTGTCAACAATAAACTATAAATAGGACACCTAGAAAAAAAAAAAAAAAAAAAAAAAAAAAAAAAAAAAAAAAATTTCAATATCTCCTCAGCAAGTTTTCTTAATCCCCTGGTTAAACAAAATTCAAACTAAAATCTCAGTTGGTTCAACCTTCTGCTCTCTAAAAGTGACTGTTTGCTGAGCAAAGATTTTGTCCTGCCACTGCAGATAACTCAGGGCAGGTTTGAATTTTGTAGTGGTGTTGTTATAACAACTGAAATCAAAAATGGAGTCACTGCAATCAAGGGGACCTTGAATAAGAATCTACTGAAAGTAATACTTGTCAATAATGCAGAGTGCTAAAAGATTCTGAGATTAAATATATTTTCATTTAGGATTGTTTTTTTATTATCAAAAATCTGATACTCACAGGACAGATTGAGGGAAAGAGGAAAGCAGTGCGTAACAATGGGTTTCAGTAAATAGAGGTTAGAACAGCATTTCTTTTAGGATATTTTGATTTAGGATTGTTTCTTATTATCAAAATGGTAAGACTTTGTCACAATGCTCCAACCAATTCCTTTGAAATCCTTGTTCCAGATTATTTATAAATTTCCACAATTTACTGACCAAAGGAGATCAGGTGAAAACATAGCATTGTGATGAGGCAGGTTGTGACACACTCATGCAGGATAAGTACAGCCTCAAAGATGTTTAATATCAATTGATGAACAGAGTTAAATGTTAAGAAAAACAAACATTTTTTATGGTACAGGACTGGGAAAAAAATGAGAGAAGACTTGATTGCAATTAATGAATTCTTCTTCTTTTATGTAGCGTATCCCTTCAGGATGTAGGCATACATGGCCCTCCACATTTTCCTGTCCCTTGATCTCTTAATAAGTTTTGTCCTTTTGTTATTTCTCCCAAACTCTGTTCTATCATCCATTTACTCAAGCCCATCAAGTATGTTATGTGATGCTTTCCTGTTTCTCAGTCTGTCCTGTGAGTGTCAGATTTTCCAAGCCATCTTTCCTTATTACATGCCCTAGAAATTTCAACTGCCATTTCCTGATGTTAAGTTTCCTATCGGTTTCCATTTTCTCTAAAATCTTATTGTTGCTCACGTGTTCAATCCAGGGTATCCTCAGCATCTTTCTGTAGAATCATATTTTTGTTGCTTCAAGTCTCTTCTTCATCTTTGAGGAGATTGTCCAACATTCATCCTCCATATAAGAGGACAGATACCACATAACAGTTCAATACTCTTTTCTAACAAAGTTTTTCTGTTTCTTAATACTCTGCTTAGCTTTTAGAATACATCTTTGGTTATCCCAATGTGTTTTCAGATCTCAGTGTTGCACTTTCCATCTGTTAGAACACTTTCCAGATATTTAAATTTTTGTACTTGTTTGATTTTAGTATCCCCGATTTATTGGAATTAAAGACAAAAAGAAAATTGGTTTTCAGAAATTAGATGAGTTGGAGGAGTTTTTAAGGAACCAAACTAATTATAATTTAGAGATACTTTAATAATTTAGCCTAAGTGAATAACTACAAGAACTCCAAAAGATATTAGGGAAGCAAGGTGAGAAGAACAGTCTAAACATCAACCACAAGAAAACAGAATGCATGGTTGTTAACAAAAAGAGTCCAACATGCAAATTAGAAATACCAAAATCAAGTACAACAATTTAAATATCTGGGAAGTGTTTTAACAGAAGATGGAAAATGCAACACTGAAATCAAAAGGTGCATTGAGATAGTAAAAGATTCCTTCCAAAAGCTAAGCAAAGTATTAAAAAACAAAAAAATTTTGTTAGGAACAAAGAAAAAAGTACTAAACCATTATGTAATACCAGTCCTTCTATATGATAGTGAATGTAGGTTAAAGTTGGGGGACCCTGTATTAATACGAAATGATTTACAAGCATGACCTTCATAACATGATTTTTTAGGAACAATTGGATTAATCCAGATATTTGTCCAGAGACACTGTAGCCCTTAAAAAAATGATGACAATAAACTACTTTCTTGGTTAAAATTAAAAATCATATCTAAAAGTCCTTGAGCTTAATTTGTTTACATTAAAAAATTTATTCATCAGATTGGTGGCATTTCCTAGGCAGAAAATTTTCAGGGAAAAGAACTTTCTGAAAAAGTCAGCCAAATTGACCAACAGTCTTGTTTACATAAAAACATATTTGCTGATTTTTTTTTCATGGAAAGAAGCATTTTTGGAAATCAGGTAATCAGAATTCAGTCAAGTGGTAGGCTTGCCTTGTGCCTCCCAAAACAAAAATGTCAATAATAAATCATTAGTGATAAGCCAGCAGACTGAGTTTTATATAAACAAATGCAGAGGGGACAAGAGTGAGTCTCAAAGGGGATTAGCAGGAAAGAGTGTGAGATATGAGCAAAACAGAGTGTAAGTGTTATGTGTTGGAAATTGTAACAAAGAAAAAAAAAATGATTTATGAAAAACACAGAGCTAAATCACAAACAAATATTTAATTTACTAAAACTCAACATAAAATATATACAAGATGAACAATTGTGGCTTACAAAAACAGAAAACACAGAGTTATTGGCCAAGTGTTATGAGGGAGAAGGAAAGGAAGTCAAGTTTTATTACCACTTTAGGGCTAGCGAAGTAATCTAAGTGCTAATAACTGGAAATCCATAAATGTGAGTATATATTGAATAATTGTTTGTTTGGTCAATGAAAATAGTCAAAACTCTATTTGCCAGATTTGTTCCATGTTCTCTTTTGGGGGTTTTGTTGGTCGGCAACTTTTCATAGAGATTCTTTTGGCTGGATATAATAATCCTTGAATCAAAAAGCCAGAGTTGATACTGGCAGAAATTTCTTTTCAACAACTGACAACCCTTTTCCAAAAACCTATTTTTATAGGGGCTAGCACCTAATTAGCATATTTCTAGATGTTTCTTGAATCATCTAGATTTTTCTCGAATATACTAGAATGATCTAGAATCTTCCAAACATTCTATTTCTAATTTCTCTATTTTACAACTACTTCATGAATGAAAACTTTTTTGTATTAACAAGTAGGACTCAGTAGAATCCCTTACTATACAACAGGAACAGATTGTAGTTGCAGCTGTGAATGAATTAGATTACTACCCAAACCTTTAAAAAGAATGGGCAGATACATATAACTATTGTTTTATTATTATCATGATAGTTATAAAAAAAAAAAATAGCTACTCAGAGTTCAGACTACTCTCAAGTACAACAATTGGTTAGGTTGGTTGACTGATTTTATATGTCAACTTTAGTTCAGTTATTTAATGTCAAAAACAGTATTTAAACATTCTAGAACAATATACAATCTGTCTGAAATTATTAAGCAAGTGACATAAAACTTGAATTTGCTTTAAAAAATTTTGGTCAAAATTTAAATAATTTAGACATCAAAACAATGGCACCAATAAATACAGGACATGTTTTTCATTAACAGCACAAACATTATAAGTTGCCCATAACAGATAAGTTAGAATATGAGAAAGAGAAACTTCACATTGGTGTGTCTATATGATGCTTGTAGGATTTATACAATCTTTGTTCATCTGCAGTTTATAACATAAAGGAACTGAGAGAAAAATTACTCAAGTTCTTTGTTGACCGTGATTCAAAGAAGCAGATGTAGATAAGGAAAACAATGAATGAAGTGATAAAGTCTTTTATGTAAGTCAATAGAGTTATTTGTCACCTTTATTTTATCTGGTGTTCCTTCTATTCTTCTCAAAGTTCTTGAAAAAAATCCAAAAAAAGATCTGCAATATAATGGATCCTGACTTGGCATCTCGACTTCAGTCACTTTCTCAACACTATGACATGGTTTCCCTCTGTCTTTTCTACAAATATTTTCATGGCAACTGCTATGATGAGCTTTTTCCCTTAATGCCTCAACTATGTGAATTTAAACGTGCTACTAGATTGGAAGCTAGGTCCCACTCTTTTACGACTGAAATAGTCAAATGCAACTGCCACTTCTACTTCAACAGTTTCTTTTCTGTGGAACTTCCTTTTGTTTACGTGCTTTCCTGATAATTACAATCTTCAAAAACTGAAATGCAATGTCAATCACCATCTTCTACCTTCTTGAATCCCGTTCAACTTTTATCCTTTCCTCAGTCCCCTCCCTCTATACCCAGTCTTTTTCTCTCTCTTTCACCCCCTGCATAGTAGTGGCATACCCACATTGCTTGGAGTGAAATAATTAAAAAAAAAAAAAATCTGGGTTCACTAAAATTCCACTTGATTTTCCTGTTTCACTTTGGAAGTAGCAGTGATGAAATTTCATATGTAAGTCAACAGATTTATTTGCAACATTTATTTATCTGACGCTTATAGTCACATCATGCTAAAACACCAGTTCCTGTATCATCACCAAAGTTAAGCAACATCAAGCCTGGTCAGTACCTTAATGGGTGACAGCTTGGGAATGCAAGTGGTGAATGGCTCTGAATTTTTAATCAGAGAGCATTTTTCCAATTCCTGTTGGGTTTGTTATAGATAGTTACACACAAATACACTTGGGAAAAGTATGAATCCACTTCTTCTCCCACCAGTTATGGATTAATTAGTAAAACTTTAATCCTTAAATCATTATCTCAAAAAAAGAAAATAATCTAAAAATATTTTCTGGCTATAAATAATCTGCAGAAGAGTTGATAAGCCGTAGAAAATGAATCAATTAATTTCTTGAGCCAAGGCTTAATTAAATTTCACGCAAGTTTCACTTAATGTTTTTTTCTCCTTTACTTAGTAACATGTTTTTTTACAGTGAGGTTCACCCTGTACAAGACATGGGGGCCACTCAAGGTAGAGGGTTACATTAATAGGCAGTTTATACAGATAGGAGGGGATGAAAGATTGTATTGATTGGGGAAGCATCTTCTTGGAAGTTGGTTACACAAGGGAGTGGTTCACAGGAAGAAGCTGTTTGAGTGGGTCCTACTTCTCACTGATGAAACACAGGGGGGATGTAGGTAGTTTGCTACAATGCACATAGCAGTGGGGGGTAGCTGTGAAGGTTAGCATTGGTGGAGCCAAGGAATGTAGTTCATCTGAGCACTTTCCATGGAAGCAATGAGAGGCTTGCCACATACCACCCATGAGAGGTTGAAGGTTGGAAAATAATTTGCCACCTACAAGGGCTCGGTGACACTTTTGAACTCTGTCAAGACCAGAACAGGAAGATTGTGCAGCTCCTGACCAAATATGACAACAGTACTCCATCCTTGGCCTGATCTGGCTCTTGTAAAGGTAGAGGATAACATGAGGAGTTAGGTACTTACTGGAGTGATACAGGGAGCTGACCATTTTTCCTGCATCTTTACTGATAGATGTGGTATGTACAAGTTCCCATGTACAAGCCCCAATAGCCTCTGAAGGCACAGTGGAGTAATGGATAGCGGCTTGGATTGAGGAATTGGAGAGCCAAGTTCAAATTCCAGTTGGACCCATTACATTCACTTACATGCTAATACCTTTGGAAAAAGTATGAGTCCTTTTCTTCTCCCCCCAGCTATGGGTAAATAGCAGGACAGACTGGGCTCTTTAACCTTGGGTGGCAAGAATCTAGGAGAAAGTAACTCTGAATTTAAGACTGTAGCCCTGGCGTAGCACATACTATACAGCTAAAGGAAAGGATTGTTCGCATTGGCTCAATGATCCTGACAGTAGTTGACAAATGATGGTGAGTGTCTGAAGACATGGAGCCTCCCTGAGAAGCATGTACTTATTTTCAGGATTGATGATTTAGCTGCTAGGTTAAGTGTATTTTAGCATAATCTTCAATAATCACTTATCTGCGCCCCCCCCCAATGATTCCAGATTGGTGATAGCTCACCTTTATATGAGAAAGAGAGAGGCACAGATCTTGGAATGTAAAAAGGCATTAAAAGATTAAAAGAGCTAAGCAAATAATTCTTACTCATGAGCTTTCTTTTTACTCCAAGACTCGGTTCCTGTATTCATGTCAATACAGCAAAGAGATTTGTCTTTGGAAGCAGTGAACATTTGGTTCCCATCTTCAGAAAAACAAAGGCAGCGACAGGATTTCTTGTGATGGTCAAGAGTCATCAAATTTTGATTTTCACTTGTTGTTGAATAGGAATGACTGAAAATAAAAACAAAAATAAAGTTAGATTGAACCTAGATTAATTTATTAATCTCTTAGACTGGCTACCAAAAGAACAAAGTCTGCTCTGTCATTTCTTCCAGAGATGAGGGAAGGTGGATTACTTAATTAAACAATAAATGAATATAAAACAGAATACACCTATATTTTCCAAGCTTAACAAAAACCTCAGAATATTCTAGAAAATTAGTCTAAATAAAAAGTTCTGTCTTTCTGAAAATAACATTCTTTCGTCATCTTTGACACTCAATCTGAAGAGATTGCTATTGTCATCATCTTTGACACAGATCTGAAAGATCTGAAAGAGAGAAAAATAACATGTTCTTTCGTCATCTTTGACACACAGATCTTGTCATCTTTGACACACAGATCTGAAAGAGAGAAGAAATAACTCAGTCATCTTTGAAAGATCTGAAAGAAGAAGAAATATTGCTTTCGTCATCTTTGACACATCATCTTTGACATTCAGATCTGAAAGAGAAAAAATAACAAATCTTGACACAAAAAGAATAATGTCATCTTTGACATTATGAAAGAGAAAAAGAATAATGAGAGATTATAAGGAAACACGTGTGCATGCACACACATGCACAAAGATAAAAAAAAAAAAAAAAAAAAAAAATCAACCTACCACCAATAAAAAGCACATAAATTATTTTTTTCAACTTAACATAAAAATAACAAAAATGAGAAAAATCAACAAATAATTGCTGAAACCTCCTGATGAGGTGGACTGAACAATTATAAAAAGATTTGTCTATGAAACTCTGGATTCAAGGTGTTAAATATTGCATCAGTTAGTTAAGTGACAAAGTGTATATTTGTAATAATCCTATCCCTATATCTATCTATATATATTGTTGTAACCTAGAATGGGTTACTGGATGAGGAATAAACAAAACAGAGTTTGGAAATGAAATATAACATCAACAAAATACAACACTTGCGAACAGTGTGCAGTAGGTAAACCACTGCTAGTGGTGGACTACTTAGACAGCATATTACCCCCACTCCAACATATTTATGAGAAGTGGGACATACCCATTAGTGTTCATAGGTACTATATATATATATAAAACTTTGAAATGGAAAAATTCTGTAAAATTTTTTGACCATATTTTTGGATTTTTTTTAAAGCTTTCACAGTTAAATTTCTATTTCTGATGTGAAGTCAGTCCATTCATAGTGTTCATAGTTACTATATATATATATAAATATAAAAGCGGACATTAAAGTCAACACTCAGAGTCAACTGGCTGTTTCATGCTAGACACAATCGTCAGGATGCTTGATATTAAGCACTTTAACCCATAAATATAGCACACCTTAAAACTATATTTCTTCATATGTATATATGTATATATAATGTTGTAACCTAGAAAGGGTTACTGAATGAGGAATAACCAAAACAGAGTTTATTAAATGAAATGGTAATCTTTATAACGTCAACAAAATACAATACTCGCCAGCAGCGTGAAATAGGTAAGCCACTGCTAGTGGTGGACTACTTAGCATATTACCCCCACTTCATCATCATCATCTTGCGGCCTCAGCCGAGATTGAACTCACTACACCTTTCCAGCATTCCTTATCTGTCATAGCTCCTAAAAGATCTTCCTTAGGGATCAATGTGTCTTGTTTTATCCTATCTGGAAAGGTTAACTTGCATGATCGATTGTCAGATGATGGGTGCCTCAAAAACACAAATGATGACAAGTTCATCTGTGGCACGTGCACAATGCCGCGAACTGGACATCTCTCTTGCAGACTAAGGTTGATACTCTCAGCAGAATCTCCATATATCATTTCTAGAGTTGGGCGGTTTCATATGAGAGATTAAGCACTCTTCTTAAAGACATGTATAACATCCATCTAAACGGCGCTGTTGTTTTGCTGAGAGAGTCCAAGTTTCAGAGCCATAGAGTAAGATTGGCTCAATAAGTCACTTCTGTGGAAAAGTTGGATTTTGAACTGACGAGCAAGATTGGATTTCAGATCTTATCCATTTTGTTACAAGCAGTCCATGCTATGCCTTTTCTAATGTTGAAATCTTTCTCAGAGTTCTTGATGTGTGATCCTAGATACTTGTAGTCTTCGACACATTTGAGGATGTTGTCTGAGAGTGTTTTGATCTCATGATTGTTGTGAATGTTAATTGGCATACACTCAGTTTTGGTTTCATTTAGGTGAAGACCTGCACAGAAAATTATGAACCCCCACTTACAACAGTACCCAACATATTTATGAGGATTTGTATATACCCACCAGAGTTCATAGGTATGATATATATATATAAACATTTAAATGGATAAATTCTTTATTATTTTTTTGACCATTTTTTTTTTAAGCTTCCGCTGTTAAATTTCTATTTTTGATGTGAAGTCAGTCCATAGTGGGGTTGATAAGACAGAAAACTTATATTTTCATCTGCTGAAATAAGCTTATTCCCCTTATGAGGTGAATTTGAATTTTATTTTGTATTAATTATTTGCTCTGTAATAATAAATATATTGAGCTCTTTTTGTGGATCAGTTTTAATATTTTATATTACTAGGATCCACTTGGATCATATACCAATTGATTTGTTACCTTTACTATATATATATATATATATATATATATATATATATATATATATATATATATATATATATGTGATTGAAAGCAAAAGGAAAACTTATCTTAGTCAACACATTTTATTCTCTGATGGACTTTATCAAGGCAAATGTAAGGATTTTATTTTGTAATGACGTATTTATAAATTAAAGTAAAATGTTTTACAAAATTTTTAAATTTAAGAACACACATAAATATACATCAGGCTAAATGAATATAGCGAAGAAAACGGTAACTTACCTCATCAAACCAAGCGACAGCATGTCGCGTGTATCCTACGACGGAAAAGAAAATTACTTACCAAAAAAAAGGACACGGGTTAGGGTTACATGACATACTGAAGACAGAATATTTAGATTAAAAACGTCTGTCGCAGGATCTCTATAAAAGTATTTTGATATGCAAGAATTTGGCATCCTCTCCCAGTTATCGATGAATGAAAAAAAAATGCTTAGCCGATAAAAGCAGTTGGTGTTCTCAAATCGGAAGTGAAAAATTGATGTATTTTGGCTACTGCATTCATTGGAGAGTGAGTTATTTTTCTGACTGGTTATGTGCATTGGGATTTATGAATCAAGTTTTCGGCATTTCTTTCTGCCTCTGATATTTGAGTCTGAACTTACAGTGATTGGAATTAATTGTGGAATTAATCTGCGACAAACATTTCCTTTGCTTTCAGAACACTTACAATGAAAGTCAACATAAATTATGGAGGATGCTAAGTGATGTAATTTAATGTCTAATAACAGCAACAACATTTACTCACTTTTGTTTATTAGACATTACATGACTGTTGAGAAGAGATTAGGCCACTCAGGTGAAAAGTTATTACCACAGCAAAAGTCTGTCTTAGTAAAATCTGCTGCTGCTGAGAAAAGAAATCAACCAAATGGTGAGTTGGGATGATAAAAGATGACTAGAATTGTTGCTGTTGATGAAGAAGAAACCTCTAAACTCTCATAATATGAAGGACTTTCATGAACCCATGAAATCTGAATATTCATCAAAAAGACTCCAGAAAAGAATCTTTGCCAGTGTAGGGGTCAACCTTTTCTCCTCCTGCCTCTTCAAACTTCAACTTTCACTCTCAAAATTCAACTTTCAACCTGTGAAAAAGCAACAGTCTGAATTGTCAACTTTTTGAAGTCAATTTCTTTTGTTGCTAAGAAATTGATTTATATGAACTGTTGCTCTAAAAGAAAATAAGATCCCTTCATTGCTTTATATAAACTGTAAAAGAAAACAGATTTGTATTTGAAAGAACTGTTAACCTGCCTTGAAATTTTCTGCAAGACCTATATTGTAATTTGTACAATTTGTATAGTGTGAAAATATTTTTGTTATTGTAATGTTTGTTTCTCTGCAAATTTCACACCAGCGCAAAAGTTTTAAATTTTGTGTTTTACACCTTTCAAAATATGCAGGATAAGAGATTTAAAATAGGCTTAAAAATTTAAAATATTCAAAATATGCAGGATAAGAGATTTAAAATATACTTAAAAATTTAAAATATTCAAAATATGCAGGATAAGAGATTTAAAATATGCTTAAAAATTTAAAATATTCAAAATATGCAGGATAAGAGATTTAAAATATGCTTAAAAATTTAAAATATTCTGCTGTTTGTCTCCTAATACATTCTTTTATATTCTGTAACTTGAAGTTGAAAGAGTGAATGTAAGTGTGTTTCATGTGAATGTTCCGTACATACATGTATGTGTATAAGGTTTTCATAGCGTCCGCCCATAAGAGGTCGAAACGCGACTTCTTAAACAGCTACATTTTAGTAAGCGACAGAAATCAAAAAGAGGAAGAAAGAACTTGTGTGTGGTATTTATAATCACTGTAATCACGTAATCGGCTCTGGAGAGTATTTTTGATTTTGGGCGGAAAAATGGTTTTGAATAATATGTAGATGTTGTATAGACATAGGTGAGAACCTGATTTTAATATTAACTGACCAATGAGAAGTGAGAAAAATATTCAGGCTCTGTGATCCACTTTTCACACAGATTTGCACAAAATCTGACATTGAAAGAAAAGTGGTAGCTGGATGCTAAAATACTCCCTCCCAATTGAAAGTTGCAGGAATGAAAACTTTCAGCATGTTATAAGTTGTGCACTGAATAGAAAAAGTGTCTAAAATGGTTGACGCTTGTGACAGTTGAAGATGTGATTTCTGAAAAGTTATCAGATGAAAAGTTGGCAAAAGTATGTGCATTGTCAGCGTGCTGAAGTTATATTTGGAATGAACATATAGCACACTCTGAAAAGAATTGTGTTACATGTGTCGATGAAGGGTGAATTGCTGCAGGCCAACACTGTTGTGTTTAAATGCTTGCTTTATTCCAATGCTCCACATAATTCAATAAGTTGAAATGCATACTCGGGTAGTGTAGAGTGCATGTGGATTTATCTTGAAGTGGTAGTGTCGTGATGAAGTTAGAAAAATTTGTGTTTTAGTGATAACTAAATAATATTTAGTAAATATCGTCAGCAAATTTTAATGTGAAAGTTGCGCTGTGTAGAATGTAATTCAGGACAGTAAGTTGTCCAAAGAATATTTCACACTTAATCTCTTCAGTGTAGAAAAGTTTTGTGCATTAGAAAGCATGGTAGCTAAGTTGAAATGTTGATAAGCAGTGGCGTGATATGTTGCAGCACGTGGTCTCTTTATGACATGATTTTTGGTGCTTAAATGAAATGGCAGATGAATTGGCTTCTAGATGGCGCCAATGTTAAAGTTGAGGTGCCAAGTAATGTATTCTTGAATTAAGTATTTGTTAGTTGTTGTCGTGCCAGTTTCTTGGAAATGTCAGAATTATTAATTGTTGCAGTGCCAATTTTTTGTCTATAGCCATGCTGATTTTTTGAAGTCATCAATTTGTAATGGTACCCACTTTCTTTTGAAGTCACCAAATTGTGGTGGTGTGGACGGTTAAATAATGTTCACTAATTTGTCTTGAAATGTTGGGTTCATCAGTTTATTGTGGTCCACTCACCAACAATATACAAAAACTGTTTTTATAGCAACAAACAACAAACATATTTATATAGGAGTAATATAAATTATCAAGAATAAACTACTCAGAATATTTATCCGAGTTCTGCCGAATTTCAAAGTTTAATATTCTTAATTGAGCAAATTAACATGCTTTATAATGTTCCTTTAAAACAGTTTTTTTTTAATACAAAATTTACAATGCAAAAATAAGAGTTGTTTCCCCTTAACTATGAATTTATTTGTTTGAAAACTTTTCTTTGAAAGAAAGAATATTTATCTGGTCTCACAACAAAAAAAAGTTTTTACAAATGTTCTTTGTGAAATAGTTGAAAGTTTTTGTGTAATATGAATACTGTGAGAATTTGTTTGGTAAAAAAGAAACTTTAAATTATTACTTGATATTTCAAGAAGTTTCTGTTTTATACCAAATGAAATTTAGTTTGTGTACTTCTGAAAATAAATACAATAAATCTTGCCACTAAAATGTTCACCAAATAATAAATTCCGTTGAATAGAACTGAGTGAGAAAATTTCTTTGAATTGTCCTGAAAAGCTGAAAATATGTTCGGTAAAAATAGTGTTGAATTGAGTTATGCTTCTGTGTCCATGTGGTGTCTGCCAATTGAAGTAGAGTAAAATGCCATATCTGATGAGTGTAGAGCTGAATATCTGCATAACTGTCTGGTTGTAGACGATCAAGTTTGAATGTTTTCATGACAGAATGCAAGAATGTTCTTTGAAAATGTTGCTTAGAAAGAAAATATTTTGTGGATTTTATGCGTCGGGCTGTCTATGACCAACCCGTCGGAGTTAACATTTGTAAAGGTTGGTTAGTTGATGTGACCTCTCGAATTTATATTGACGCAAAATGATTTTTATAACAATATTCATATTTATGTATGTCAATGATATACAAGCATAATTAATAGGAATTACTTCCCTTTGATTGGAATTAAAGTCTTTACTAAGGAAATATTTTTATCTGAGCTCATAGAAAATTGAATGAACTTGTCACTTAAAATGTTCACCGTGAAAGAGTTGAAAGAATTCTGTAAAGCTGAGGATCAGAAGACTTTTTTTTCTTTTTTTTAAGTATTTTCTTGCTAGTATAAAACTGGAATATTCAAGTTAAATTTCTTAAGTGCAGAAGTGATGTGCCTGGTTGACTTTTTTTTGGGTCTATGAGAGAGTTGAAAGAACTTGAAGTTGAAAGAGTGAATGTAAGTGTGTTTGAGTGAATTCATATATGTGAATATTCCATATGTACATGTATGATGTTTTCATAGCATCCACCTGTAAGGGGTCAAAACGTGATTTCTTAAACAGCTACATTTTAGTAAGCGACAGAAATCAAAAAGAGGAAGAAAGAACTTGCGTCTGGTATTTATAATAAATGTAATCACGTGATCAGCTCTGGAGAGTATTTCTGATTTTTGGTGGAAAAATGGTTTTGAATAATGCGTAGGTGTTGTATAGACATAGGTGAGAACCTGATTTTAATATTAACTGACCAATGAGAAGTGAGAAAAATATCAAGGTTCTGTGATCCACTTTTTGCACAGATTTGCACAAAAATTGACATTGAAAGAAAAGTGGTAGCAGGATGCTAAAAAATGATTTAAAAATAAAAAAATGGAAGACTATAGAAGGAGGATTATCCAAAATATAGTGACAATAACATAACAAGATCAATATTTGCAAGTGTTTATTAGTCGTGTTTTTTTTTTGTTTATGAGGTAACTAAGTAACTAGTTTCAATCTAAAAATTATAAAACGTTACTTACACATTGACTTCTCCACAGATATGAGCTGAAGCAATGACATCTTTGGATGGATGAAATGCAACATCAATAACAATATCATCAAACAAAATGTCTTTTGGCTTCTTTCTTTCCTGGACGGGTAAATAAAAACAAACAGAATAAATAAAAACAATCAATCAAAATCCAGTTCATTGGCTTCATATTAAGACAGAGTAGTAGACTTGATTCCAACTGTAAGTGTACTGTAATGTATAAAAATACACTTCATAGTTGAAATCATTTCTTGATTTTTGTGTGAGCAAATACACTGTATTTACTCACAAAATTTCTCTAATGATATAAAAAAAAATATTTCTAAATTTCTTTTTTAGTGTCTTCTCACGACCATAAAATTTAATGACTTATTTTTGTTGCATTATGAAATAATAAATTGGAATAATTGGTACTCATCTGTGCGAACCTACTTATGCACGAACATATACATACAAACACAAAATCACTTGTACAATGACAAATGATCATTGGCTAATAAATCACTAATACATTTTCTACAGGCAATTTACAAATCACAGTAATGCAACAATTTTGGAATCGATTTATTTTTTAAGTAGTCAAATTTGTGCACCTTTGAGAGAAGTGGCTCATAGAAGCTTCCTTAAGTCTCCCCAAAGCTTGCTCGCTGATGACAGCCAATCAGATCATTTGCACGTTTTTCCCGCGCAACGAATCGAAGCCTATAGTCACCTATTTAAACCATGATTTTTCTCATTTCAATATCGTGAGACCTCAACTGCTAAACGAATCTACGACAGTCGAAACTCCAGTTCTAACCACACGCCAACCTTCTCACTCACACCCACACGCTGATGATGTACACCTTCACTAAAAACTTCTTTTGACAAAACAATACTTTTCAACAGTAATATCACAAGAACAATCATATCATGAAACACTCATGAACATTTATCCAGTGAACTTTAAACCAAATAATTATCTCTCACTGAACTCTTAAATTGCTATCAAAGAGAGGCAACTCTTGATTAATTCAACCTTTCTTACTTAAATTCATGTTTTCTTTCACATCGTTTTTTGATATTGTACATCTTGTTAATATACATATATTCTACGTGCAACAATGTCTTGTGTTTATTCTTCTTGCGTGAGTCCTGTTTCTTATCAAAGTTAAAAATTAATGTGAAGTCCCCCACACGTCTTTAAAAACTGAATTCAATTTCTTGAATTTTCTTTTCTACCTAAACAAACGGTACATGAAATTGCATCTTAAACCAATTTATTTTTTTTTAAATAAACGAATAAAATTATTAAACTTTTTTTCATAAACAAAGTTTTACAAAAAAATGTTCAATCCAAAACCTAAACACTAATTTCTGACTTAAATGCTGACCAACACACACACATAAAAAACTTATTTTAAACAGATCAGGATAAAAAATAAAACTAATTTTATAATTTTTAACTTACTTTTTAGTTTTTATTAAAAATAAATAAGTTTAAAGACAAAAAAAGTAAAACCACGTGGAAAAGCTAAAAACACGTGGAAATAACTTGGAAAAAATGAAATAATTTTTTCTTAATCGATACAAACAACAAATAAAAATCAATAATCATACATTTCCCTTAATGTTGAAAATTAATTATTAAGACTGCACAAATTAAAAGCAAAAGATTTTTTTATTATGAATTACTCACATGCGACGTTGAAGCCTCGGCCATGTCTGTTTCTGAAATGAAAACTTCTTGCACGAATTATCGTTCTTATATGGTTAGCGTAAAAAATTAGATTGGCATTTGAAACGAAACGCAATCCACACTGCTCGTTTCTTTATATTTGCTAATTAATATTTTTGTTGTTGTTGTTTTAATTGACCGGGAACTGAATTGAGCTTATTGCTGTAATTTAAGGTAATGGTTAACGAGCTAGTTTAACACACAATTGTACTGATAACCTGCTTCATTTAAGTGCTTCATACTTGAAGTATTGTGCCAGATGATTCTTTTACCACGTCCCTTCAAAATGTGGAGAATCATAGCTCTCCACAGCTTCCTGTTTTTTGTAACTTTAAGTAATTTTTGTTCCCTTTTCTCTGTCTTCCATATTTATATAAACTCGTTAGGTGAATTATTTGCAGTTTCCCTCTAAATTCTCCAAGATATCCTTTCTCATTACGCCCCAGAAATTTCAACCCTCTTTCTGATTCTAACTATAAAATTCCTTTTCATTCCCATTTTTATTAAAACGTCCTCATTGCTCAACTGTTCTGTTCATGGTATTCTCAGCATCCTTCTGTAGAACCACATCTTTGTTGTCCACAAACAGATATTGAATGACGGAAGACAAAAACAAACAAAAAAACGAAGACTTGAGTAAAAAAAAATATATTACCAAGTTTATTTTCGTAAAAGAAAATATAGTGCACGAGGCAAAAATATATATCTGCATGCTCATGTAGAGGGTAAGAAGAGCGTTGTCCTGAGAGGGACAGTTTTTTGGTAGTCGCTGAAGAGCATTGTCCTGAAAACGGACATTTTTATTGCGTATCATTGCTGTTGGCGAGGATGGCTGGGACGGCGGCCGATGGCTGCTGGAGATGATGATGGTTAGCGAGCTGGAACTGCTGCTGATGGCTGGAACCATGGGTCAGCTATTGGAACAGATACTACACTTTGATCCTAGTTATCTGGACCGTGGAAAGTGGTTTATTTTGAAATATTACAACTCGTATGGCACAAGGCCAAATCGGAAAATAGGCAAAGCTGGTCGTCACTGACTATCCTACACCTAGCTAATCTGATTCACAACTCATTCATCCATTACAATTTACTCATACACCACAAGAACTCATTCATCGCCATTCAATCCAACACATAACATAATACACATATTCACAAGGATCCTTCTAAAACACCCATGGCATAAGAAGAAAAAAATAATGGCATAAGAATTTCACAGTATTTTACAGTTTTACAATGGTCTCTGGTTAAACTTCTTTTATCGGTTGTTTTTTGGGGGTTTTTTTAATGTGAGAATACCGACAGGATACGACATTTTAGCATTCCGATGCCACTTTCTCATCAATGTTGAATTTTGTACAAATCTGTGCAAAAAGTGGATCAAAGAGCTTAACCAGCTTCATACATATTTTCGGGAAATCTCAACTTCTAATTGGTCAATAAACAAACACAAGTGGACGTTGCAATCCACCCACGTTACAAGTCTTTTTCCAGCTCGTGACCAAGTCAAATTTTCCCGCTCTTTTTCCAGGAGCCTGTCATGTAGTTACATTAATTATAAATGCCAGACACGAGTTCGTTCTCTCTTCTCTTCCTTGATTTCTCTCGCTACAAGATGTAGTTGTAAAAAGGATTCGCGTCTTGACCATGTGCGGTCAGACGCGTATGAAAACATATTCACACACGCACACATGCACGTACGTGCGAAATTTTCCAAACTACATTTCCAAACCAGCAACAAAAACTTTTCTCTTTAAGATACACTGATCAAGCTTTCGCACACATCTTTACAAAACAAAATTGTAATATTCTGCATATAAAAAATATATTTGTTGTCCCAAATATATCCTTTTTGTCGTAATTGAATATCGTTATCATTTGATTTTTTATTTAAATTTATGTTTGTGGATATTGCATGTTTCATTTACAGCGAAACATTCACGCAGCCAATATTTTTGTTATCTTAAGTCTCATCTTCATTTTCGAGAAAATTATCCAAGATTTAAGAATTGGATAGGAGTTCAGCGCTCTTTTCTTTGCTTCTAACGAAAGGTTTCAATCCTTAATGCTTTCTTTAGCCTTAAAAAGCTGTGGGCTACAAAAGATACACACACACACACACACACACACACACACACACACACATATACACAAAAAAAAAATAACCCTCGCGTCTTCGATTTTGTAAATTTCAAAATCAGTTTTAGAGAATCACGCCACGTGAAAAAAAGGAGGAAAATTGGGCCAATCGAATCGCTCTATTTTATTATTCAATCCTAAGCTCGGAGCCCCATGAAGAAAATATAAAAATTTATGTAAAAAAATTAAAATTCTTTGCCTCTTATCCCTACCTAAAAAACAAAGACTTTAATAATCAATGAGGTATTCGGACAGCCTTTTCTCGATTTGACATGAATTTAGAGCCTATTTATCGTGGCGCAATGTCTGGCTCAGGGTAATAAAATTCGAATGTTCTGAAAAAAAAGATTTGAAAGGGAAAATTCTTCCTTTTGGAATGTAGAGCAGTTACCTCCCTCTGGGTAAGAGGAATTCACTAGGGTTACGTGACGGCCAGTGAGTGACGTCAGTTCGTAGAGTGACGAATCCCAGTTGCTATATAGCATGCGTAGAGGCAAGACCTGTCTGCTTACGCCAATTGCTATGTAAACTGTGGATGAGCAAGACATGTTTGTACACGACAGTTACGAGAACAAAATGGAGAATGCGCGCTCACACCAAAAATCATGGAGGACACCACCATTTGGTCTGTTTTCCTCTTTGGGAAATATGACAATAAGACCCTCTCGCTTCTTACCCTTTTACACTGCTTGTTGTATTAGTATGTTATAATTTCTCTGTGTGGGACAAATAATGGCAGATATATCATTTGTATATAATTTCTTGTATGACATAGCTTTATAAATGTCTCTTTGAGAAAAATGCATGTTTGTCATTCTTTTCTTTCAGCTATTCTGTTCCATCCGTTGAATTAAGGTGTTAGCATATCACGGATATACTAATGCCTATAATGGAAATGAAAACTGGAAATATTCAGTTTTTATTAGTGTTATAAACACGCGTATGGATGGTAGCACGAGAGAACAAATGAAAAGGCAGTACCGCTGGCGAGGCGAGAAAGAAGACAATAATTGTTAATATAAAATTATTCGTATTGCCGATATAGAGAATGTGAGCGGAATGTTACTTTGTAAGCAAGGGAAGCGATTTAGAGGAAGAGTAGAGTTAGTAGAGTATGGAGTTGATGCGTGTATCGGATCGGCTGACCGAGGTCATTGGTGGTGACGTTGAAAGTTTACCGTTGCCACGATTCTGTTTCAGTCGTTATGAGCAGCGTTCTTGAAAACAAATGTGCTCATAAACTCATCTTTTTTTTTTTTTTTTTTTTTTTGAAGGCAACGTTCATGATTGGCTCCTTTTATATTGTACTTTATTTTTTTTTATTTTTTTTTTAGGGGAATTGTTTTATGGTTCTTGTGTGATGCTCGGGGACCCTGTGTAAAGGACGACTTTTTATTTTTGTATTTCGTTTTCTTAGCGTTCACATACGGCCGACATGTACAGTGAATAAGAAAGAGATCTAATTTGAAGCAGAGTATAAGATTATCACTTCCATTAGGAATATTTTTCTCCAATCAGAGGAAAGTATTTCTAGGTATAGCTACAGACTTTCTAAACGAACCCGAAAAACACATTTTTAATATTTTAAATGCCTTCTTTGAGTTTAAATTTAGGTCCTGTTTGAAAGATAATGGTCTAAAACTAATCCGAATTAAAAGAAAAATTAATAATTTTTTTTAGGCATTGTTAAAGCATTATAGTTTTTTTTTTTTTTCGTTACTCATCGAGTCGCCATTGTATGCGAAAAATATAAACAACAAATTTAAAATTCTCTTTAAAATCCAATATTTGTCCTGGAGATGTGTTTCAAAGTCTATTAGTAAGTTTAAGGATTATTAATTAATTGGATTTTTCTAAAAGTTATGCTTTAGATGCGGGCTGTATGTTCATAAACGATATTGCATAATTACTTTTTACTGAAAAACAAAAAATATAAAATAGTTTAGTTGGGCATAAAGTCAAATAAGTGGAAATTTGAGTTAGAATATTCTGTAGCATCACTCTTCTAAGTAGAAAGGAAGTCTCTTGAAAATCATTATGCGCAATCCTAATCTTCTTGGCTCGAACAATTATATATATTGACAGTGAGTTATTTTACTCTGGCCAAAAATGTAAAACCCAAGACGTTTATCGTACTTTAAGTCTATATTAATATTAATATACTTCGTGTTAAATAAATCGAGTTTTATGAAATGTATGAAAATCTAACAGGACAAGATCAATTTTAAACTCCAGTGAAATAGTAATAAATTTGTTAAGGGAGGGTACTCTTAAATAAGGGGAAAGTAAAAGTTACCTCCCTTGCGTTTTTATTTTTTTTTAAACTTTTTTTTAGTGTTTGAAATGTTTGTTTTAAAAAACTTTAATTTCTGAAAACTAGGCAAAAAATAGATTTCTTTTTGCTGAAAACTTCGGGTACACTTAATATATTTCAGGAAATTTTTCACTTTAATTTTTAAAAACATTATTTCCTGATGCAATGTTTATTAGTGCTAAATGGTTCTTTAGTGTTCTACTTCAAGTTCAAAATATTTTATTTGTGATCTAACTAATTCCCTTGGTTAAAAAACATTCCAATACATTTCCTACATAACAGCACTGCAATCAACAAGATCTGTAATAAAAGCGGATTACAGAGCTTTGATATTTCTCTGACTCCCAATTGGTCAATTTTAATACCAATATCATGTTTTCCACTTCATCCATACAGTTAAAATTAATTTACCACCAAAAATCTATGTATGTGTTTTAAGTGACATACAACATTATAAATACCAAGCGACATCTTCAACTCTTTCTCTTTTGCCTTCTCTCACATACAAAATGTAATATTTGTGGAGAAA